CCAGTCCACTTCACTATGCAGCTTTCATTCTAGACTCCTATTATGACAATAATACTTAATGATATATTCCTCCTATACAGTTCTCTCCCTCTTCTGTTTCAATGCCGTATATATTATACCTTTGATATTGACAAACATATTCAATAATGCAACTCTAGAGAACTTTTGAATTCCTTTATTTTTGTGACTTTCAATTGTAACGGTGGGGTTTTTTCCCCTCCTCAGTAGAGGTTACTACTCTAGCAGTAAACTGTCAACTTATTTGTTCCCTTCTCTACATTACTTTGCCAAAAGTTATTTTATCCTTTTTATCAAACTGTCCAATTCAAACTCATCCTTTATAGCTCTGCTCATACATCTTTTTTCCTTGGCAGCAATTTCTGATTCTCCTCCAACCTTGCCTTTCCACATTCTGATTGATTTAGCTTTTCCTCTCGAGTTCTCCCTTCATAGCTCTGTCACACCTGCATGCATACCTGCTATATTTTGACAGAATGATTTAGTATTTTGTCTTAAATTGAAGGTTTTCATTCCAAAAAGAAGGAACTCTATCCCCAGCACCATATAGCTAGCACATGAATTGTAAGGTTTCTCAGACGACTAAATGAGTACATAACTAATACAATTTATAATGACTAGCAAATTCAATGGCTTATCAAAGAAAATGAATTTGTGTTTCTTCATAACAAAACTCTGAAACTAAACTTTTTCCTAAGTACATAACATTTTAAAGTATGTTTGTCCAAATGGTTGCTGAAAGAGCTCTCAAATGGTTTTCCATTTTGCTGTACCATGACTAGATAATATATTAACCCAAGTCTTTTTACCAACTTTTACCAAATGCCTAGTGTGCATACACACACACACACACACCACATCACATCACATCACATCTGTAATTTTAATAATTCCTATCTAGTTAACACAACTATTATATTCTTGTTTCACAAAACCTATACATCTCAAAATTATCTTTGACTAAGAGAGACAAAACAATTCAGATTTTTAAGACATGTTAATGTCAGTTTGTAAACTCTTTTCTTGATTCATAGATTATCTTTTTACATGCCTACTAATGGTATCTGTCATTTTCCAGAACGCCTTTTGTTACCATGAGCTTAATGAAACAATATACTAGATTTTCAAATGACTGTAATTATTTGAATCTTATTCTATTGTTTGTAAACCAAATCCAAGCTCCCACTCCACAGTTAAACCCTACTTTACAATGGTTCATCATATGTGAAAACTGTCCTGATCATGAAAGACGTCCTAATTCTTCATCAATTGATTTAAACTATATGCTCATGTCAGCACTGACTTTGTTTGCAGAGCCATCTTCCTTGAGGTTGCCAACTTGGTGTAGTCTCCTAGCTCAGGGATCTTGACTTTGTAGAGAGATCTCACTGATACAGAGAATGCTAGAAAGGAGCAAAATCAACTGTAAACCCATTTGTCATATCATCTCCACTCCAAGACAGCCTAGTAAGTCATGGGCATTTCTCTTTTTCAGGTGAGTTGAAAAATGTGAGACTTTAATATTTCACTCAAATAATTTCATGAATTATCTTCTTTGCACTTAGCTCTTTATATCTTTCTTTCTTTTGAAAGAACAACTTTTTATCCTCAAACTTCAACTCAATTATCAAAATTTCAAAAATGCTCCCTGACTATTGTCTCTAATGATTAAATCTTATTCTCACCCATTAATTAACATCTTTCAATCCATACAATTCTGATTCTGTGATTTGTATTTGTAGATAGATAGATCTGTTGTTATTCTTCTAGTTGTTATTACTAGTTCTAATCCATAGAGATTCTTACATGGTAGTGGTGGAGGTGGTGGTGATGGTGGTGGTGGTAGGTGCTATCAAGTCATGTACAACTCATAGCGACCCTATGAACAAAAGATCTGAATTCTGTTTCATCCTTCACCTTCCTGTATCAGAAATACTGCTCAGGCAAGCTCCAGCCTTACAATCACTGCTGTAATTAAGCTCACTGTTGCACCCAATATATCTCTCCATCTCATTTAAGATCGTTTTTAATTTTGTTCCCTTCACTGACCTTTTGCTGTTTTTTTTTCCTTCTCTAAGGATTGGCTGCTCCTAATAACATGCCCTAGAGGAATGACATTCCTCTGGGGCGTATAGCCCTGGTGTACAGTTGCTGTCCCGCGGTCACTTGTGGTTGCTGTGAGGCTGAACACTGTGACACGATGTGTCAACCACGTTAATGGTTGGCTACCCAATGCAGACAGAGTGGGGTGGAGCTCCCCGATTAAACAAGCGTGGAAGGAGGAGTGGCATCCACTTCCATAATAGCTTGCCTCCGGAAACCCTATGAACTTGGAGAGAGGATGAAAGGCACCCAAGCGTCAAGGACTCTCCTTCACAGGGTCGCTATGAGTCGCCTGTGACTCGACGGCACTTAACAACAACAACAACAACAACAACAATAATACTATGCCCTAAGTACATGAGCCAAAGTCTCACCATCCTTGGAACATTTTAAAGTGCCTTTCTAGCTACTCATACCATTTACAAAACACTATACTATCCTTAGATTTATAGGTGCCTCAACACCAGGAATATGATAAATGGCTGGAACAGACAATATTATTTTCTTTTATAGTATATTTTAAAGGAACATTTTAAAATGTTCCTTAGATATTATTTCCCTAAGTTTTAACTCCCCTATATAATACACATGTTTGATTCTAATTTCTCAGTAGCCTGAACTGTCTCTTCAATATATTCTCACTGCCATCATTTCAATGGTGACAAATAAAAATCATATAAGACAGAGCATTATGCCTTACAGAGATTTGGACGCTGTAAATCTTAAAAGGAGCAAAATACTTCAATGCTCTCCCATCATCTAGTCAAGTCAAGCAAGTAACTTTTCAGTTAGTAATTTAGCAGTTAGACCATTCTATCACAATTCATCCTTCAATTCAATTAGTTCTATGACCACTCTGGACACTATGCAGAAGAATATGGCATCAGGATAAGAGAAAGACTTATCCACAACCTGTGTTATGCAATCAAGATGATGCAATCTTGGTTACTGAAAGTGAAGAGGATTTGAAATGCAAAAGATAAAAGATAAGAGTCTTCAATATGGATTGCATCACAACATTAAGAAGATAAAAATTCTCACCACTGGACCAATAAGTAATATAATAATAGATGGAGACATGATTAAAATTGTCAATAATTTCATCCTACTTGGATCCTCTAGCAACACCTTTATACCAGCAATTAGGAAATCAGGAGACATACTGTATTGGGCAAGGCAGCTGTCAAGTACCTCTCCAAATTAATAAATAATAATCTCAGTAAGGTGCATCTGATTCAAGCCATTGTCTTTTCAATACATTTTTATGCATCTGTAAGCCAGACAATGAATAATGATGACAGAACAGATTCTTTTGAGTTGTGGGGTTGGAGAAGAGTGCTAATCTCCCATGGAATGCCAAAACAACAAACGAGTATTTTTTGGAGAAGGTGCAGCAATTCTTGGAGGCAATGATGGGAAAGCTTCCTCTCATTTACTTTGGGAATGTTGCTAGGAGAGACCATTCCTTGACAAAGGACATTACACTTGGAAAAGCAGAGGGTCAGTGAAAAGGAAGACCTCCAATGATGTCTATTGACACAGTAACCGAAGTAATGAGCTCAAATGTGTCAGAGATTAGGAGACTAGCACAGAATAGGACAAGTTCGTATTTGTTGCTCTTAGAGTTGCTATGAGTCATACTCAGTTCACTAAGACTGAACAACAACATCAATGGTAACAACACAAATATTCTAACCTTTTGTTTTCTCCTTGGGATTCTTGTTTTAAACTCCTAAGTAGATGCAATTCTTCCTCAGTTTGCCCTTCCCAATGCCTGCCTAACAGCTCATACCAAATACAAAGCACAATTTTACAGTTCTGAAATATAATTCTTAGATGTATATATGCCTCCTCAATGGGAATATGATAAATAGGTGGAGCAGATTGTATTTATTTGAGTTTGGGACTATTTTATCAATGAAGAACCTAAGGTACAACATAAGTGATGTTAGCACAAGATTGAAGAGGAGATGTAAAATTGTAAGAGAGGCATAATTCACAAGCAAGTACACAGAAATTTGCTAGAAATAAACTCTTTTTATTGAAGACAAATAATTTCTTGAACTGTCACAGTGATTAAGGAGTGAAAGCTAACATTTGATAAACTGACAATACATAGAGTCTCTGGACACAAAGATGCCATTTTAAGAAATGGGCACTTGTAGAAAAACACTTTTATCAAACATACAATTTCTTGACTCTAAGAATGTTGGCATAGACACTATTATTGGAATTATTCTTAAAATGATCATTTCAGAAGCAAACGGTGCTCTGAGAGTGATGTTCTAACAGCAAGAATAGCATCTTCTGTAGCAAAATGGTCGGTATCCACAGCCGTAGCCAGAGCTGTATCCACAGCCGTAGCCAGAGCCGTAACCACAGCCATAGCCAGAGCCGTATCCACAGCCATAGCCAGAGCCGTAACCACAGCCATAGCCAGAGCCGTATCCACAGCCGTAGCCAGAGCCGTATCCACAGCCATAGCCAGAGCCGTATCCACAGCCGTAGCCTGAGCCGTAACCACAGCCATAACCAGAGCCGTATCCACAGCCATAGCCGGAGCCGTAGCCACAGCCATAGCC